AGTCAATCACAGAAGGACAAATATAGTATTAGTTCTTTGTCGTGGAGGGTCAAGGAAAAGTTTATATATGGAGGGAAACTTTCTTTGTTGGTTGACAGGGGTGGGAGGGGAGAGGAGGGAGCACTGAAAAAAAAATGCATTGACCCATGTCACTTTAGTTTTGTGTATTTTACTGTACATAAATTATATTTCAATAAAATGCATTTAAAAAAAGAGAAAAAGGCTGGGAGTTTAAACCCACCCAGCAACTCCATGAAAGAAAGACCTGGCAATCTGCTTCTATAAAGAGTACAGTGAAGAAAACTATAGAGGGAAATTCTCCTCTGTCACATGGAGTCAGTATGAGTTGGAATTGATTCAACAGCGCCCAACAAAACCATTATTTTGCGCATACACATCAACTGAAAAATCTAGAAAATGAAGAAAATCTATCCTTAATTCAATCACCCTAGTAATACAAACATATTTCTTTGTAATTTATGTTCACATATGAAATTACTTTCACTTTATTATAATTTACTCTACAATGTTGTCTTTTACAACACTATAAGCACTTTTCTATGATACTGGTAGTGTAGGGTTCATAATTATCTTTTTGTTAAATAGGAACCCATTAAATACACTACTATAATTTAACCATGAAGTTCTTGTCATATATTTGAGGTTTTCTTTGATAAGACAAATAATGCTACAAATACCAAAATAAAACCATTAAATTCTTATAAAATATTTGAGGTTCCTTGATATTACAAACAATGCTACAATAACATTTTCATGAATATAGCATTCTGTGGGATTCTTTCCTTAGGATAAATTTCCAAAGTAGGCTTTTTAGAGTAAATATGGATTCTTTCATGACTTAGTTTTACCAAGCTGCTTTCCACAAGTTTATACAATTTGTAGTTCCTCCACCAAAGCACATACATGTCATCTCCAACTTCCAGTATTAAAACTAGTATCTTACATTTTTAAATGTTTACCACACATGAACCACTGGGCCAAAAGAGCTTTATATATCATCTCATCATCCTCATAACAGATCTTTGAAGTAGCAACTATTAGTCACCCTCTTTTGTAGATAAGAAGTCACAGTTCAGAAAGTTTGTAAGATATATCCAAGGTCACACAGTAACTGATAGAACGTGGACTCAAACTCAGATCTTGTCTAATGCCACAGTGCTCTTAACTACTTGGTTATATTGCTGCTTTACTCTCCCCACCACCCAAAATAATGATAGGTGAAAAAAAATATTTTCCCAAAGACGCATGGAAAATTAGTACAAGGGACTAATGAGTGGCCAAGGCGAACCTCAGCCTATATGACCACGAGATCAGAAGAACTAGATAGTACCCAGCTATCACCATCAACCCCTCTGAACAGGATCAGTGCAGGAGATCCTGGATAGAGTGGGAGAACAAATGTGGAAAAAAAACTCAAAATGTGTATGAAGTGCTATATGGAAAATGAATTTTCTCTATAAATGTACACCCAAATCACAATAAAAAATTTTAAAAACTTTTCATCAATGCTTTAATATGTAGTTCTTTGATTATTAGCAAAGTTGGTCATTTTTCATGTTTGTTAAAAAGCTGTATTTTCTTCTTGCATTATTTGTTTATATTATTTAACATCCTCTGTAAGGTGGTAGGAGGAGCTCTGGTGGCATAATGCCTAAGGCATTTGACTGCTAACCAGAAGGTTGGCGGTTCAAACCCACCAGGCACTCCATGAAAGGAAGACTGGGCAATCTACTTCTGTAAAGATTTACCACCTTGGAAACCCAACAGGGGGTTGCTATGAGTCAGAATTGACTTGATGGCAGTGAGGTTTTTTTTTTTTTTGGTTTTGTAAAGTGGTAGGGGCAATTTTCTCTCATCCCCTATGCCTTTCAAATTTCTGTTTCTAACTAAAGACTGAAATATATAGGGCTTTTTGTAAATATATGATCCAAAAAATCTGGCCATCATTCAAAACTTACCTCTCTTATGTACGAAAACATCACTGAAACCCTACCTAAAGTTTAACTAGTAGGCAAACCTGGATTTACCTCATAGATCTAAACTATAATAATTATATTGAGAAATATGCTCTGTTACCTGCATTATGTCTTGCAATGTATCCAAGTGCCCAGGCTGCAGCCTCTTTGACTCCAGGGTCAAAATCTTCCAAGCATATCACCAACGTATCCAGTGCTCCACAATCAACTATTGCCTGAGCTAGCTGAGGAGAATGTTTACCAACTGCTCGTAACACAAAGGCAGCTGCTTTCTTGTAAAAACGCTACCATGGTAAAATAGACAAAAATCAGAGTGAATTGAACATTTAAATAATCAAAATTTTCAACAGAAAAAAAACAACATAAAACTGACATTAATAGGAATAAATGAAAACTCAACAACTTTTAAGTACAAAAGATGAAGTCATTTTGATTATCTGATATTCTCCTATTGCTTTTGTTCAGTAACAGGGAACAATGTAAGCTTTAAATTACATTTCAAATGTTTTACCCTGAAATAAGCATTTGGAAATTACATAAAGTAAAATGTAAGCATTATGCTTTCCACAAATTCATGGAATAATGAGATAATTTTATGTACCCGCATTACACTGAAAGGCATTTGTTTGGCCCATGGGAACTCTTAGATTGTTAGCATGTGCAACTAAACTCCCTGTCAACTGACTAATTCGTTTCCTTTACTTGCCCTCAGTATGTAAGCATGGTAGGCCTTTCATGACTTCAACTAATCTTTTTGGTGTCCCAACTTATCCTGAAATAATCATGTTCCAGATGCACTTACCAATCATCAAATAACCATAAAGGAAAATATTCATCATAACATTTTAAAACTTTTTCTGGCAAATAAATTAACCAAACAATGAGATATAAATTACTATTTATCCCTTATTAGAAATGCTTTTTTAAACAGATAAAAACAAATTTACTATGTGAATTTTAAACACTGCTTCATATTTATATTTTCTTTAACTATAATTTTTATCTAATTAAAGAATGATAAATTGAAACATAAAACGAACATGCTTCTTTTATTCCCCCCTAAAATTAAATGTATAGAAAGTATTTGGCTATAACACTCCACTTGTTGTTTTATAGTTAGCATAATGACATAGTAATGATCTCTTAACACTTCCTTTTATTAACAGAACACAATTAATCCCCTATTTCAGATTCTGAATTTCTATTTTTTTTACAGTGACTACTGAGAAGTGATTATGTGACAACAACTGTTTTCAAAGCATTTCTTTCTTAGGCTAAAATGTTAAGATACAATAAAAATTACAGGAAAGAGGGAAAACACAAAGTATATTTCTAGCATATAAAACATCTCAAGAAATAGTACATGTTAGTAATTTAAGAAATATGTTAGTATTGATATTGAATTGATATATTTTCTCTATTTTTAAAATATAAATATTTTAATATGTGCGGTGTAGTAAATTACTTAGTGTGGTTTTTCTAGCCATAAGTCTTTGTAAACTCTGGTGGAATTTGCTGTAAGCAACTGAGGAGCTCCTGATTGTAAAAGTTATCCACCTGGGGTATTTCTGTTGGACTTAACACAAAGCAATGTTTTGGGAGGTTCCTGCTCTCTCTCTCAGGTGCTTAGAATTCTGATGTTATGATTGGTTAGTTTGGCCATTCTGCCAGGCTCAAAAGGAGGCCTTCCAGAGGCAGAAGAAGTCTCTCTGACTGCTGGTTGAGGAAGACGTGCTGCTGAAAGAGACATGCATTGCTGAGTGAGACACTGAGGGCCACTCACTATTGGGAGAGAGACTGTTAGGAGAGACTGAGAGCTGGGAGAGAGACTGAGCGTTTTTCCTGAATTTGAATTGGAGTCTGGTGCTTCCCTAATAAACCCCGTAATCTGTGAGTTATGTGTGACCACTGTAGTGAATTATCAGACCCAGGAGAGAGGTGGTGGGTGCTCTGGGAGGAACAGTTGGTGAAAGGGCTGAAGGATGGCAGCATGTCCGGCCTTGCAGTGATAGTCCTTCAGCTATTGATGGTGACTCTGTCTTCCTCTTGTGGTAACTTAGAGGAGGTCAAAAGATGTGGCCTCCTTGCCCCTTAAGCAATATGTAATTATGTTAATTATAAATTAATTTTAATATATTAAAAATTTTTATTATAAAGTTTAATGTTATATATCAGTAATTTATCGTATTGAATGTATTTACTACAAAAACTAAGGTTGAGCTTTAAAAATAGCTCCCCATAGATTATTTTCTTACAATTGCATAAAATAGTGGTGTGATACATTCTTTGTCATTACCTAGCTAATTTGACTTTTTATATTACAGGATTTCAAAATCACAGTTTATTTGTCATAAGTGGTCACTACTAACTGCAATGGCTGTAATTCACTCTCTCATCTCGTTCCTCCTCCTTCTCCTAATTTCTGGTTCTCCTGTTCTCCTAATTCCTAACTCTCTTCTTCCTCATTCCTCACCAAAAGAAACACCTTTAAAAAAAAAAGAAAAAGAAAAAGAAAAAACAGAGGAAATGTACCTCATAAAGAAGAGGTTCAAGTTTCCTGTGAGAAACGACTTAAAGGGCTAGCAGATGGAATGAGACAAGTTTGTGAATAATGCTTCAGTCTCACTTCTTTCCCACTTTTGTCCCCAAGGACTTTCAATATCTTTTCGACTAACAGACATTCATTCGTTTAGAAAACTTCTAATAAGAATCTTCTATGTGGTAATACCAAAACACATCTGCCCTCAAAAAAAGGGACTAAGAATTCTTAATAGATAACAATATCCATAAGAAAGATACAATCTTTTAATAACTCCTTATAGAGAAAAAAATGATTATAAGTAAATGAACCTCCAGTCTATAAATTAAAGCAAATTTCTACAGATAGAATATTTTTTTAAATTTTCAAACTGCAGTAAACTACCCATGAGATAAAATTCACCATTTTCACGCGTACATTCAGCAGCATGTTGTGCATTCACAATGTTGTGCAAAAATCACCATTATCTACGTTAAAAACATTTTCCATAACCCTAAAAGGAAACTCCATACCCATTAAACAATCATTTCCCATTTTCCTCTTCCCCCAGCACCTACCAACCACTAATCTGCTTTCAGTCTCTATTGAGTTGCATATTCTGTGTATTTCATATAAATGGATTCTTTCAAAATGCAACCTTTAGTGTCTAACATCTTTCTCTTAGCATGATTTCAAGGTTCACCCATGCTATACCATGTTATCATTACTTTATTCCTTGTTATTTTCACTTGCCATCAAGTTGATACCGACTCATGGCAACCCCATGTGTGCAAAGTAGAATTACTCCATACTCTGTAACCTTTTGGAAGCAGATGGCCAGGCCTGTCTTCCAAGGCACCTCTGGGTGGGTTCAAACTGACAACCTTTCAATCTGCACCACCCAGGGTCTCATATTTTGATTGAGTAATGTATGTACACGCCGTATTTATCCATTCATCAGTGGATGGACATCTGAATTATTTCTACCTTTTGGATAATGTGAATAGTGCTGCTATGAATATTTGTGTATAAGTTGTGAACAAATGTATAAAAAAATTTGTGTTCAAGTTTTTGTTTGCACACTTGTTTTCAATTCTCATGAGTATACACCTAGGAGTGGAACTGCTGTATGAAATGGTAATTGTGTGTTTAATTTAACAAGGAACTGAGAAACTGTTTTCCATAGCGGTCTACAACATTTTAAATTCCCACCAGCGATGTATGAGGGTTCCTTTCTCTACATCCTTACCGACACTTGTTATTCTCCATTCTTTTTATTATGGCCATCCTAGCAGGTATCATTTTGATTTGCATTTCCCTGATGGCAATGAACATCTTTTTATGTGCCTTTGACCATTTGCATGTCTTCTTTGGAGAAATGTCTATTCAAGCTCAGCCCTTTTTGAATTGGGCTGTTTCTCTTTTTGTTACAATAGGAATTGAATCTTAAAGATATGTGGAAAAAAGAATATCTCTAAGTTATGATAGACAACAGAATGGAATGAACAGCTCAAGAAAGTCCTTAACTATTGTGGACAACAAATAGGTGGTACTGAACAGAAATACAGAATGGTACTTGATAGAAAGGGATGAAAAATGGGACACTCTTAGAAGATCCTTAATAGAGCTGGTGTGCTTGTATGCTTGGTTTAAAAAAATACATGTTTTATCAAACTTCCCATTACACACATTCTCTTCTTCCTTTAGGTTGCTTCCCTCCCCCTTCCTTCAAGACTGCCCCACACTGTTTTCATTAACCAGACTTCACCTGCATATAAAGACTGTTGAAAGCAACTTTTTATTTGCCCAAGATCCCTAAGACTGATCTTACAATTTTGTTCTAAACTCTCATACAAAAAATTCTAACATATATCAATACTTAAAATTAATTTTAAATATTTATCTTAAATAAATAATAATTTTAAGGAGTGATACATAAAGCAGAATTCAATCTTTTTCTGCTTATATTAACAGTAATGGAGAGAAGCTGCCATACCAGCCCCAAAGCAAAATACCCTACAGATATTATTTTGCACGGTTCAGAGAACTAGAGGTTATGTTAACACTCTAATAATTTTAATATATATCAGTATGGAACTATATCCAAACTATTAATTTCATAAAATCTAAAACAAAAATAACATATAACCAGGTTTTTTGTATGTTTGTAATTCTTACATTCTGTTCTGCCAGTGAATAAACAAGCTGTGGAAGAATGTCACCCTTTACCACTGCTTCTGCCAGGTCATCATTATAATTAGCCAGTCTCCCAAGAGCCAAAGCTGCAGTCTGTTGAATTGTCGGGACCACATCCAGAAGAAGAGGCCTCAGCAAAGACATTACACCTGAGTTAAATTATGAATGAAATGAAATCAGCAAAATGTAAATTAAAAAGCATAACTATAAAATTCAATGTTTATGGGGACAATTAAGAAAAAAAATCAGTAAAAATTCAAAACAAAAAACAATTGTTGAGTCAACTCCAACAACATGGGGTCTTGGTGACCCCATGTATGTCAGAGTAGAACTGGACCCCATCGGTTTTCAAAAGTAGATCTCCACGCCTTTCTTCCAAGGCTCCTCTGGTGGTCTCCAACTTCCAACCTTTCAGTTAGCACCCAAAGCCTCCCTGAATTCACTAAAATTAATGAGATAATTGGAAGCATCTATCTAGCCAAGACATTGACTATACAACCTGTTAATTATCAAAGATGCAGCATTGTATGAAAAGAACAAAGGCTTTGTAGTTAGATAAGGATTTAAATCCCTGATTCAGTGCATACTAAGTTACTTGACCTAATAATGCTGTCATAAGAAATACAGAGAAAGGTTGTAAAGTTTATAAGTATAATACACCTAGCATATGGCTAGTGCTCAAAAAAAAAAAGTAGGTTTTTACCTTAGCCTTTGAAAATCTTATCTTTCAAGGTTCAATTCAGGTATATTTTCCTTAGTGAAGTCTTCCCCAGTTACTTCAATTTTGTCTTTGATTCCAACTGTACCTCAAGTTTATTATAGAAATTTTAACAGGGTGTTTAACAGTGAAGGAGCTAAGAGAGCCATCTGGCTAGAGTTTCACATTCATGAGAGCTGCAAACATAGATTTCTAACATTATCTCCAAATAAATAAATCAGTTCCTTGAGATAATGACACATATCTCATTACTAGCTCTCATAATACTCTTCCCAGAGTTGAAGAGATAGCAGGTACATGACCAATAATAAAAGTAGCTTACAATAATAAAAGTAGTCTATATTTATTGAGCATTTATTATATACCAAGAATTCTTCTAAGAACTTTTTTCCACATTCATTCATTTAATCCTCATAGCAAACCTATGAAGGCCCTATTACCTCTATTTTACAGATGAAGAAATTGAAGCTGAGAAAATAAAGTTTCAAGCAACTACAAAATGATACAGCCAAGTAAGAAATATAGACATCTTTGGAACATCTAAGACTGCTAAAATATCAAAATAAATACACTGACACAGAAAACAGAAGAATGGAATAAATCACTTAGAAAGCAGAAACAAAAAAAAAGAGACATCTTCATTGATAAATAATATGGACTATATGTAATCATATGTATTATATGTAAATAATATGTACTGAAACACTGGTTAGGTGGGAAAAGTAAGACAAGTAACAATTATACTTTGATCATTTCAATGGATATTCCCACTATACCAGCTTTGCCTTACTGCAAAATGTGCAAGATAGGCAATAGCTATTTCTATTTTAATGAGGCTGTTTTAGCCTGAAGTTACAAACAAGGTAATGACAGAATGTGAACTGAAACAAAGTACCCTTGACCTTCTAAACTTTACTTAATAAAGCATCTGACTGCTAACCAAAAGGTCAGTGGTTCAAACCCACCAGCTAGTCAATGGGAGAAAGATGAGGCAGTCTATTTCGGTGAAGATTTATAGCCTTGGAAATAGTATGGGGCAGTTCTACGTGGTCCTAAAGGGTCGCTTAGAGTTGGAATTGACTCAATGGCAGTAGGTTGGGTTTGTTTTTTATTCAACTTGAGTAAGGAGTTCTGGTGGTGCAGTGGTTAAGCACTTGGCTGCTAACCAAAAGTTAGCAAATGGTGATTCAAACCCACCAGCTACTCCATGGAAGAAAGATGTGGCAGTCTGTTTTCATAAAGATTTATAGCCTTGGAAACCCTATGGAGCAGTTCTACTCTGTCCTATATGGTAGCTTTGAATCTGAATTGACCTGGTGGCAATAGGTTTGGTATTCAACTTGATGTTGCTACCATCTTTTCTTTAAAAACAAACCCCAGTGAGATATAAAAATGAGTATTACCAATATTCTTTTATAAACATTATAGCCAGTAATGTTTAAAATAAAAATATTTACCTTTAGGATTAGATCAATGAGAGAAATAGTACACCCACTCCTTACTTACTTACAACATGGTTAGGCTTCAAAGACCAGGTCTTACATGAAAATGGAGGATGACCACATCACCTCACCTACTCACCTATACTATGAATGTCCCACTCGGCCCCTGCTGAGGTAAACTGCCACCACTGCTACTGCCTCTTCCTCCCCCACATTACCTCAGGAGAGCACAGCCCCCACTGCAGCCTGTAGGGGAGGTCCACCTAGTCTTCCAGAGCCAGGGTGGCCCAAGTGCCACTCTCTCCCCATCCTGCCGGTCCCCTCCCTCTCCTGCCCTCATCATATTATCAGGATGGGTGGCCCCAGCTCATCCCCTCAATGATCCCCAAATGTCCTTGGTGGCTTTGTTGGGGGAAGAGGGCCCTCTGTTCATGAGTGGGAGGGCCTGGGTGCTTCAGGAGGGTTGCATACTGCCCACTGGGTCTCCATGCCAGCCCCTCACTTCAGCAGCCCCTGGTTCTTGCTGGACAGCTGTGCCCTCCTCATCCCCATGTCCCCAGGAGAATCAACAATCCAGAGCTTCCTCCAAAGCCATGATGGCCAGGGCCAGCCAATGACTTTGACCTTAAACTACAGCTGCCACTGGTGACTCACCTGCCTACCCCATTCCATCCAGGTAGCCTACCTCACTCTCACCTGTGCCCGACCAAGAGAGGGCATTGGGGAAATGTAAGGGGCTACTTAGCTGACGTTGGGTTCCAATGGCCCTAGACCCCTGAATACCCCACCACAGGGCTCCTTACCATGGCACAGCCAGTTCCTGTGACCCCTAGGGGCTGGGAGCTGAGACCAGATCCCAGGTTTTCACTTCCTCAACCCCTGAAAGTGGCTCATCTTCAGGACACTGGCTGCTGCTGCCCTGGCCTCAGCCCCTTGTGGAATCTGAGGACTCACTGGGCAGCGTCCCATCCCCACCAGCCCCATTCCAGCCGTCACTCCTCTGATTGGCACCGCAGAAACTTAGGGAGACCGTGCCCCTTCTCCCCCTTCTGAGTGGTGAAATACTACGCAACATGAGATTCCTTTCGGCATGCACATGGGGTTCACCGGTGAGGGATTCCATCAGTGACCTGGCGTTCATTACTGCCAGACATGTGTCACAGATACAGTCAATGATGTGACCTGTGGCTTTCATACTTTCCAATTTCATTTAGTCTTTATATCATTTTAATGTCTAAGTTAGTTTGGTTTGATCATCTTATTATCTTAAATTTGATCATCTTAAATAAGGCCACAGTTGCAAGTATGAATCCCAATCAGGCTGGCTAACTTTGCTCAGTTTTACACATAAGACACATAGCACTTATGCTTTGGTCACAATTAAACAATGGTGTGGATTGCTCATTTTAGATAAATTAAAATGTTTAAATATCTATGTTTGTGGACATTGCTTATATTATTATCTGTACTTTTTTAATATATGGATAATTTCTTAAATATCTCACAACAAATAGTGTAAATCCCCAAAATAAGGTATTAGAATGATGACATCCAAATGTTAACACAAGTTATTTCTGGAAAGTTGGATTTAAAACAATCAGACCTTTTCTTTGTAGTTTGCTTTGTTAGTTCCCATTTTTTTAATAATGAATATGCATAAAATTAAGTAAAATAATAGTCATTACTCTAAAGAAGGGAGCTCTGGTAGCGTAGTGCTTAAGGCATTTGACTGCTAACCAGAAGGCTGGCAGTTTAAACCCACCAGCCACTCCTCGGAATGAAGATTGGGCAATCTACTTCTGTAGTGATATCATCTTGGAAACCCAAGGAGGAGTCACTATGAGTCGGGTCCAACTTGACAGCAAACAACAACTCTAAAGAAGAAAAGGTAAATTCTTTAAACACATATTAAAGTTTCATAAATACAATAATGAGGCTAAAACATACAACGTATGCTTAAGATAGTTTAAAAAGAATCACAATTGTTTCATGTTAGTTATTTTTTCCTGATCATTTTGTTCTTTCTTTTTTTCCCTCACTTGCCGTATTTAAGTAAAGGCAGTAGCTTATTATATTTTGAAAAGTATTTTGCAAATCAATCCATATTGGATTATCAATGAAATATTTTCAATTGAATCCTAAGAACTTTGAACTTTTACTTAAACATTGGAACAGTAGATTAATTTGTCTGAATGTACAATATTTAATTATATCTTTATTTTTAGTTACATTATTTAGCTAATCTCCCAATTTTGGAAAATTTCCATTTGCAATTTTAGTTGTAAAATATTTTGCCTCTGCCTCTCTCCCAAAAAGGTATTTCATTTTCACTCAAAGGTATTTCCTGCTTTATATATTTTCTCTGGTATCTGTTTTTCTATGGTATCTGGCCCATGAAATATAAGGCCAACAAAATGATGCACAATTCCTTTCCTTCTATTCCAATATCCAACATCAAACTTGGACTTCTGTGCAGATGTGCCTGAACTATCATACTTTTCCTCTATCACTTAGTTCAAACAACAGCACCCTGAGAAATTTGAAAAGTTTTTACATCACTGACCCTGTAAGAGTAAAAGCTAAAGTGTCGATTCAAAAATCTTTATTTCAATAAAGTAATTTTCACTGGAAAACAAAATAAAATCTCACAAATTTCTATTTCTTGAATTGCCATTTAGTGCTTCATAATCAATTCTCAGGTGTTACTCTTTCTCAAAAGGGACATGTTTTTATCTCTTACACAGATTAACCATGAAGACTTTGCTATTCTAATTATAGCTTGGTCCTAAAAAATAAACATAAAAATGCAAGAGAAATTGAAAGAGAAAAAAAGGAAAGAAGCATACATGATATATAAAAAAAAAATTTCCTTAAATCTTCACCCAAATCACAATAAAAATAAATAAAGTGTTCTGGTAGAGAAATGAAAAACAAAAAAATTTCCTTACCTGCCTGTCCATTAGAAATCCAGAGATCCATGATGAATGCA